GAGCTTTAGGTAAGAAAAATCATTATTACCTCCCCCCCCCAACTCGCCTCGACACATAGTAGTGCGAATTTCGGGTATGTCTCCAAAAAGGTGGAATGGTTTTATTTTTATTACAAGGTTAAAATGTCTATCAACGTGATAATCACTCTAATCTCAGCCCAAGACTCGAGACCATTCGTCATGTATCTGGCTAATGTAAATCCGGAGTCACAAACAAAAAGTTAAGTTCCACCCACAAATCGAAGTACAGACGGTAGTACTCAGAGAACATGTTGAGTTCAGGGGTCTCGTCTCCCTACCACGTTAAGTGGAGATGTGGATTCCGCATAACACTCACTTCCGTAAATTGTGTTCTCACAAAAGTAATGTACCGAAGAGAACACGCGTCTTCCACACAGTGCTGATAAGGAGAGAGAGAGAGTGCTGTGTCTGTCTGTCCCTGTCTGTCTGTCTGTCTGTCTGTCTGTCTGTCTGTATGTCTGTCTGTCGTCTGGTCTGTCTGGTTTGTCTTCCGGGTCAATCATCAATCTGATATATTGACGAAGTACAGACTTTCAATATATAACTACGTAGACCGGTGGAATGACCAGCAACCTAGGTTTTACAGTAAAATCGTATGTTCGATCAACAACCACTGACATTCAGATGTCTTTTGCTCTGATTAGACCAAAAAGACCAACTTTAGTGACCCTTGCGATCTGTAAAAGGTGATCCGGTGTAAATACAAACCTGACCGTAGGGTAACATACTTGCTGTCTGGCCTGAGGTTGGAACAATCTGAAAAGGGTGACCTGACAAGGACAATAACACACGGTAACACATAAAATAAACATCCACTTGGCGCCAATACAGGGTCTGAGAAATACATACATTGGAATAAACATACCAAAATTACCCAGATAATATATTTTTTTTATGTTCTTGTTTACATATTTTGTGGAAGGAGGAGTTTACGTTTATGAAACATAAGAAAACATAGACCAAGGAGTAACGGTTTTGTTTAACTTGTTTATGCTTTATATAGAGCTTTATGTAATTTAACTAAATGTTCATTTATGTTTTACGTCTAGTCCGGAGGAGACTGTGACTACTGGAAATGTGCGGGTGTAAATGGAAAGTCACGTCCTACTAACATAACGACATTATTGACCGAGAAAGAAGGAGAAGGTGTCAGTTTGCTAATTACCCAAACCGGTTCCTCGACCCGCTCTCAGTCGTACCACTTAACTAGTAGAACATTACACCCAAATACTGAAACAATGATCGTATATGTGTTGGTTATAGTCGGACTTAGCGGCAAAGTCGTAGTTCCACCCACCATTCAGGTTTTTCAGTTTAAAGTACTTGTAGTAGGTCACAAGTGTAGTCCAATTTTTGTAACCACCCACGGAGACGTCAAAACACATACTCCCCGGCACCTTTAACCCGAATACCCTCATTGAACCAAAATTTCCTAATCGTAATGTTAGGAAGAGACAATCTATGTAACAGAGTAATTAGAGGTCGGGCGAATTGAGTTTAAATTTGTAATAAAAAGAGTGTGTTTTAGGAACTAGCATGGTGTGTGTAAAAGTTTCGTTACCAAAACCTCGTATAGATTGTTGAGTATATGAAACTGGTCCATTCTGAAGGACAATTGTGACACTGCCAGACGTAATTTTACTTCATATCTCTTTATAGTTAAGGGTCATCTTTAACCATTAAAGGGAAGGACGTTATTTAATTTGTCAGAAGTCATTCTAAGTAGGGAGAAGACGTTTGAGACAGACTCCTGCCCAATGTGTAGTCACGTCCACATGTCAAACAACGGGTAACGGGTAGTAGGGAACTGCAAACACAAACAATTGTGGTTCTGGAGCGTGTGACACGGAATTTACACGTGACTGTAACCAAAAACATCTGCTACCACAAACTTCGGTGAGAACATCCCAAGTTATGACTTTGTACCATAATGTCTTTGATGCACGGTTCAAGTATATACGGTGGGAGACGGAATACATTACACACCACCGACCGAAAATAGAGCGTACGAAGGAGATATAAAAAGCCATGGGATAAGAAAGTAGAAAATCGGATACGTGAGAACTAAAGACTTTCTCACGAAAAGAGTGAATTACATGAACTACAGGTACTAATTGTATGACATCGGCACTCCCCTTGTGTTCACCCACGAGGCCACACTTATACACGTGGTTGGACGACAATCTTTATTAGACGACACCAAAAGGACATTTCGTCAAACTAAAAGTCTAAATACAAGCAGAGGACTAGAAGGCAACGGCAGGTCGTCCAAGCCCCAAGGTCTGTACAAACTAATCTCTGGTTCAGACCTGTGCAGCCGTCTAAATCCTGGCGACTGGGTGTGTAAGGTGGGGGTGGATAAAAGAAACACAGGAGGGTGTTGTGTTGCTGTGTCGTGATCTATTGTGTCGTGGCCCACTGGTGAGCGCGAGCCAAGAGGATTTTCCACAAATGTTTCTCTACTCTAATTTTCGTTCTTAACTGTTCTCCTTAAATCTTTACTACTTTCTGTGACGAACAGCCGTACAGAAAATTGTCTGGTACAGTATATAAGTTATGTTTGGTGACTACGTCATCAGAGACGTACGTTGTATAAGATAAGGTGAGGTTTACAATATTTATATTTTTTTTCCGTCGAGTATTGTCGGTTAACGGAGCTGATGGGGATGATTGTACTATGACTGAAGAATTTTCATATGTAATATTTTTTGTGTTCTATTGTATAAGTATAGTTACGTACGATAGTATATTTCCTGTTTTTTTGTTTTCCACTTATATCAACTTAATTTGTTTCAGAAAATTTTTCCGGAAGATAATTATAATAATAATTATTGTCTATACGAGTAATGTTAATAAATTATTATAATAATTTTAATTATTATTATAATCAGACTCTGTTGATGGTTTGAGCATGGTAATACTTCATTAACGGCTATATTTGATCTTTACATATCAGTCCAGTGCGCTATAAAAATTAATCTAAATCATCAAACTTAGAGGGTTATAAACTTTTTTACTTCGAAATAATATAATGGTTACATTGTCGGTTTGTTGTTTGTTGACCTATCGAGGTGCAACACTATTGTCAGGATTTCTCTACCACTGTTTACTTAACATCGATTGTCTATAGTTTGTAAACGACATTTTTTTTTTTTCGGTTTGCGTCTGTTGGGTGTATGACAGAGGACGTTATTCGGGACATTATTGTATACTACAGACAGTAAGGTTAACACTCAGCACACTTGGGTTGACCCTTTGACGGATAAGGTTACCATTATGGTTTCCTTAGTTCCAAATTAAATTAACCTAAACAAATATTACTTAAAATGACATAAATGAGACTTACTCAGGTCCCACGACCTAGCATGACGGCGGTATCTGGAGAGACACAGACTACCTCGCCGACCCTCTCCGCGACTCAGTCGCCCTTGACCTTGTCCCTAGCTTTCGACCACATAGTACTTCGTCGTCTTCGCCGAAGGTTGCCTACGCAGCGGGTTGTTTAGGACATCTGTGTAAACTGAATGAGGAAGACCCACCCCTCGAGCGATCTCCCATGCGGAACTGTCACGATTCGTTATATTTTCTATTAAAAAGTGGGGGACATAAGATTGTGTGAATACGGAAGTATAAACAGTGTAATGTCGAAACTTTCCTTAATTACGCGCGTACATTTATTATAAAAGAAGGATTTCGAGGCAGAGTGCCACCTACTAAAGGTGGGTGGCTTATTCTTCCCATTCGAGTGTGGAGGCAGTGCTTTGAACGGTGCAACGACAAAGGGTGTTCCATTAGGAGGTCTTTCTGTTGCCCTGGAATATAGGCCTCACTGTATTTATCTATGCATTAAAAACAGGTGCAGCTAACACTCATCCCTACAGTTTCATGCAGATGTTCTTTTTTTTTTTTTAAAACACTCACCAAACTTCCTGTGATGTACTCAATGGCCTTTTGCATGTCCATGCCGGACCAGTCATCCAGCATGTAACAGATACTGGCTGCACAGTAGATGAACCGTATATCATTTTCACTTCCTTCTGGAACAGCGTAGAAACTGGAGGCAAGAGGAAACACAGACACAGCGAGCCACACAAACCGGAGAGTTACAAAAACAGCTGAAAGAAGGATACATGTTTATGTTCAGAATGTATAGCATTTAAGTCTTATCATAAAAAAGCCTGTCAGCTGTAATTGAAAAGGGGTTAACTCTGATTTATGTCTAAAGGTAATGTTGTCAGCCAAACATGATATATATACACAGTGCGTGCGGAACACTACTGTTTCATGACCAAATGTAACTTTATGTCCAAATACAAAAATAGTCCCTCTAAAAGTGTTTGGTGATGTCAGAGATTCCCTTCCCTCTGCCAGTATTATCTTCTTTTTCCTCCGTGGGAACTTTATGGGAGTCACCCTCAAAAAAATGTAGAGACCAGGAGGAATCAGAAGCTACAAAAATGGTGGACAGAGTGCTAAAACAGTCAAATTAAGTGTGCCAAAAGTTTTCAAAATAAAAGTGAATCTGGTGTTGGCTTTCACCCGCTTGGGGGACCATTAACTCTTGTTGAGCAGGGGAAGAGGGGCCGACTGTGAATGCTTTTAACAAGCCCCAGCCGAAAATCTTACTCATTCTTCCCTTCAGGCTTTCAGTGTTTATTTGAGTCAGAGACAGTGTCAACATGAATCCTATTACGAGTGCAAATGTGTGTTTGTGCGTGGCTGACCTGCCGTCCTCCAGCTGCAGCGCTCTGAGACCAGCCAGACAGGCCTGTTTGTCGACCCGGCTCAGGTCGTCTCCCAGTATTACCAGCGAGCACAGTCCAGTGTAGGTCATTGCTACATGGCCACTGTCATATGGATGGAGAACACCTGGACCCTGAAGAAAATAACAAAATGATAGACATTGTTCATATCATTATTTATAGAAGCAGTGAAAAAAACACTAGTAGTTATAAAGTAAACATCTGATGAAAAAAAGATTTGAAAAACACTGACTAGGCCAGACCCATCAAATGTTTAGACAAAATAGAGCCTTTTTTGGGAAATGACTCGGGTTGGCAAAGCTCTTACATCACCAACTATGTCTCAATGGGAAAGGGAAGTAAAACCAAATGTTTTTAAGATTATGCTTATAAAACTGGAAATGGTCCAAACCCACTAATGTGAGAGAACGGATTGGCAAAATAATGAAAATGACAGAAAAATATGTTGAGATGAATTCATACAAATGGTGAAATAGAGGAAATATCAGATCACAGCAGTGAATACTTTGACCAAAAATATATCTTTAAGCTAAAAAAAGCAAGGAGGCACTTAACATTTGAGATACAAGACACAATGATTGTTCAAACATGGATCAGTTCTACAAACAGTGAGGGGTAAGGCTGTACCTTAGTGCTGTAAGGAATTCCAATATGTGACGATCCTCGAAACCCACAACGACTAATGTTAGCTTCTGGAAGAGAATAACAGGAGAGGAGAAGGTAGATATGTAAGGAAGCATCATGTACTAAAACATCAAGAAAAACAGGAACAAGAAGGCTAGAAAAACATGTACTGCTGCCATCTATTGGCCATGATGGAAACATCAGAACCCCAATTTACAATATGTCATCATACTGCAGCAGAGTACACAATGTTAGCCAGTTTTAAAATAGGATATCCAACCACTCTGAGAACAATATTTTTTTTCAATGTTTCATCATCATATTCTGACATGGGTTAAAACACATTGATCATGTTACACTACATAATAGGTAGTGCAATGCCTACTAATTGATGAATTATTTCCCTTTCAAATATGCATTTGGTCAAGCTATAAAGGGTATGTTAGAGCCAGTATATTTGATTTGATAAGAAAGTTATGAAGTTATACAACATAAGCATTAGGGCTGCTCGATTATGGCAAAAATCATAATCACGATTATTTTGGTCAATAATTGAAAAAATAAATTTACTTTGAAAATATCCATTTATTGAACTTTAAAACAAATACAAATAATAATTTGAACAGTATCTTTTTAACTGTTGATTACCCTGAAGTATAATTCTACTGAAAAACCAATACAAAAATAAATAAAATAAATGATACATTTATATTTACATTTAAATAAATAATATCAAAAATAATAAATACCAATAAACAAGATCAACAAATATTTTTGAGCGCACTTCCACAAGCTACTAAACATATATTAATATGATAAATAAAAATAAATTAGACCAAAAATAAATTAGATCAAATATGTTGCAGTGCACTGTCACAACCTAGCAAAGCAAAATACAATTATTATTATTATTATTATTTTTTCGATTATGTTGTTTTCGTAATTGTGGCAGGTCCAATTCATAATTGCGATTAAAATACGATTAATTGCACAGCCCTAATAAGCATTATTAAGAAAGAAAGAATACCTAAGTTGTTTATTTGAGTTTTGCTTATTTATTTTGAATATTGTAATGGCCTATTTTCTTTGTTGCATGTGTAAAAGTTTGTTATTTTATTTTGAGCAAACACATTGCAACATCCTCTAACCATCGGAGCCCAAGCAACCCTTCAAACTGTAAGTAATTTAAAGGAAAGAAACGAGTTAAAACTGTCTGTTTAAGGCGTCTAATGGCTTGATAGAAAGACAAGGAAGGAAGCCACGACAGGGTATGTATTATTCATGTATTTTCAGCACGCTAGTGTTGAAAAAGAACGGTCTGCTCAACAAGTTTTGGTTTTAAAAAGTAACAACATCAGGGACATAAGACATAACATCTCGAGTGCCTCCCAAACAGCATATTTACCTTTAATGACAAAAGCCCAACCAGACACCAAACATATGGCGGCAACGAAATAGAGACCAATCAAGCACGACTATCTCAACATGATTTCTGTTGTATTGAATAATTAAATAAATGGGCATCTAAACAGATGGCTGAGAGTTGCTTGTTAGAGACAGAAAAACACAAGTCATTAAAAATGTAGAGACAAACTTTCCCTGATGAACAGAGTTAGAGTTTCAGGTGAGGGAAGGAGGACCCGGAAAGCTCGGTTTAAAAACCAAAAAGTTTAATAATATTTCACAGACTTCACAGAGTTTGACAACTCTGAAGTTTGTCTTCCTCCTCTCCCACCCTGATGAAACTATAGACCCTTATAAAACAACCACATGCAGAGACTCCCAAGCATAAATATAGATAATATAATATATCTTAAATGTACAGTGTTTCCCACAGAATTTGATTCTATTTGTGGGGGCACCGCACCTCCCCCCTCCCCGACAAGAAAAGCCAAAGGCCCCTTAACCTATTTGCGTGGCCCACGCATTCACCCC